AGTGAACTATTCAGAATATAATATTGATATATATCTGTTTAGTACGAGATTTACTATTTTGTCAGTTTAATATAATGGAAGTTTTTAAAAGCAATGACAATCATAATGAAGTTCTCAACAATTCTCTTCTAATCATATTGACCTTGACCAGTGATAATAAACGAATTTTTTTTTAAATATTTCTTCGCAAAATAAGGATGTGTTCTAAACCTTTGTTCTATTGGCAATTAAAACATGTGGATTATTTAAAATTTAATCCAATCAACAATCGGGTTTTAATTACTATGTTTTCTAGTCTCCACCCGTTATAGAGTTTTATCGATCACATTTGTAACGAGCGAAAGTGTAAATGACAGTGAGAAGAATTATATTGGATAATAGACCCATAAAACTAATAATCTATAAGCTCTAAATATATTTTTCGATGATCAAATGCTCGAAAGTGATCGCCTTCGAGAAAGATAATTGACGTCGTATCAAAAGTTTATGACAGATGAAGTTTAACTATATTTGTAATGTGGGGATATCACTGATTCCATGATTTTACCAAATATCATTTTACTCACTTGTTAAAGTGTAGTGTTTTCATCTGTGTATCATTCGTTTCATCTACAAAGCAGTTCCTTGTTTTAATCATAAGCCTTTCTATGAATTAGGTACAGTTGAAATTCAGTATTACTTCAAATGTTTTTACTATAACTCAACTAATTCTAGTAAGTACTCAAACGACATTATCGACCCTTTAAAAAAAATTGGGAATTATCATTTATTAGTTTTTGATATATCTTTACGTAAGTGTTCATATTTCATTTCAAAGGTGACTGAAGAAGATCGATCATTAATTTGATATTATATTACGTTTCGATTTTTTGAATTTGAGAATCCAAAAAATATTGGATCACAAGTTTTTATTCTACAAACTGTTACCAGTATAGTGACAGCCGACTCAGACTCATTTAAAAATACCGAACACAAATGTACTTATTATTCTTCATTACTAACTAAAGTAATCAATCCCTTTTATTATGGATTATTTCATAAGATACATAGGGTATATTATTTTAAATAAACATGGATTGTTTGCCTATATTCAACAATACAAATTAAGCCTACAGGTTTAGTAAATCCATTGTTCCGCCTGGCAATCCGGTCCAAGCTTTTTCAAGGAATTATAATCAAACACCAAAATTTTGATGTTTGACCAGATTGACAAGCGAAACATTCTATTTATTTCAAATTCATTCGCTGAGATTTTACAAAGACATTTTTCCTAATTTTTGTAAAATTATTCGAAAGTTGAAATGTAAATCACTAGACCACATTTTTAAGCCTTGTAGATTAGGGAGTTGGTGGTTTGTGTGTGTGTACTTCAGAAATGACTCAATAACTAAATCTATGAGACTATTTATTTTTTAATAGATTATACAAAAGTCAATTCAAATTGAAAATCACTTTCCATTTACTGGTACTTGTCACATCGATAACTAGATTTAAGTTGGTCATAGTCTGAGATATTGTCTTAATCACATTTCACTGAAAGAAAACGTTTACTTACTTGTTTCACATCATTAATAGAAGCCATCCCAATAACAACCAATCGAATTGTTTAGCTTAAATGATTATTCGTCACATTTATACTATGCTTAACTAAATAAGGATCAAAATATTGAATCTAAATTATGTAATGACGAATAACTGATATTTTACAATTTTTGAGTGTCTTGTCTGAGAAATGATAATTACAATCAATAGCATTGATTTGGTGATTGTACAAATGAAAATGAAATCTTCCTAAATTATTTTCATACTTTCAATGCATGATTTCATGTATCAACGTACAAGATAATATCGCAAATGTGTGTTTGAAACGTCTCTTTTTTCATGTTCAAGTGTAATAAAATCAAGTGACCGAACTTAAATTTGAAATCTATTAAAATTTGAGCCTTAAATGCCTGTTCATATTTTATCCGATACGACATTACTTCTTTGATAACTTTAGTATGAGTACAATCTGTGATAGTGGTTATTTTAACATAGAAAAACCTTCAGTTTCAAGCGCGAACGCTCGAGAGGCATCTAACTTCATTCAATCCATGGTCTTGCGCAATCCTTCATCCATTTTCCTGGATTCGATTCCCATGTGTAGCATCTTGGATGCGCACTGCTGAGGATGAAATGGCCGTTCAATGCTTCCAGGTTTTCAGTGGTGGTCTAATACCAATCAACTCATGAATTCAACTATTAAAATTACTACAATCTCCACAAATCTCCATTTTGATAAAAATCAAAGGTGTTCATGCAGATAACTAAATGAGTGAATAGAATGATTAATTGTCAGTGGTGTTTTTTTATATTATCCAAATGGATATTTTGACGAGATTTTGTGTAGATAATTGAGTAAATATTCAACTGAACAAATCCTTTTGAATATTTCTTAACTAACATTGAAATAATTCACTTGATATTGTTTTATTTGAATCTTCCCATTGATGTTTTAGGACTGAAGTTGATCAGTCTCTTATTGGCATATGTGCATACTGTGCGTATGCCTCGATATTGCCTTAATTTACAAGCATTATAAGCAAAGATGGATAGTGGCTAGCAGTGGAATCCCAGAGTGAACATCAACTCTGAGATGCAGGTACATCCAGCTGACGAGTCCCAAACAGGACGAAACGCGCGTCCTGGATTCCACTGCTAGCCACTATCCATCTCTGCTTATAACATTGAAATATTTCAGGAAAATAGTAGGTTGTAAAACCATTGTAATGTCACTAATTTAATGATGTTACTAAAACCTAACCAACATAAAAGAATTACATATTAAATGTTCAGTTTCTAAGTTAGTGGAAATTACTTAGAATTTAAATAATAGAGAGAATACTATTAAAAACAGGCACAAGTAAACTAATTACTGTAATGATGTCTAAAAGAAAGTTGATTTTGTAATAAACATATAAATGCTTTACTGAAACAAAACAAATGTGAAATATTCAGATTCATTTTTAAGCGAACTATACTATTTTGAAGAATGGTATCTATCTACATCTTCAATGAATAATGTCTTTATTCATATTTAAATAAATAAAAAGAAAAACAAATTTTAAATTTTCAAAGCATCTAATTAACTTTTTTTCTAAGAAAATAAAATGAATATTTGCTAAAACAGATGGCTTCATGTATGCTTCAATATATCGTTAGTGTTATTGACTTCCGGAGAAAATCACTTATAAAAGTTAACCCTAGTAATTATTTTCTTTTCTTTTTTTCACTAAAAAGTATAAGAACATTCATAAAATATCTTTAAACTGGAATTAAATAGGAAATGAAATACGTATCAGATTTAATTATTTTGATTTGTTGCAGTACAATTATGTACTATGTGAGTTAAGTGTATTTATGAATTCACTATTTATATTCCAATAATGATATGAAGTAGTTTTACTGTAATAAAAAAGTTAGAGCATAAGAATAGAAGAAGCGCATATGCATAACTTACACATCATTATCAGTAAAGGGCTTGTGGAGATTGTTAAGTTTTAATTGAGATCATGAACCGATTGATGTTAGACCACCATTGAAAACTTGGAAGCACTGAACGGCCATTTCGTCCTATGGTGGGACTCCTCAGCAGTGCCCATCCACGATCATGCTCGCGAACGCTTAACCTACTGGTCCACTGAGCCGGCATCCAATATTGTTAGTGTCTGAAAGTCCTGGGTTCAAATCCCACGAGCGGGGTCGTGGATGCGCACTGCTGAGGAGTTACACATCATTGTTGTACACTTTATTGTTTGTTCGCAAATTATCAGATTCTTTTTAAAGTAATATTATTTGAAGTAGACAGTAAACTTAATACAATGTCAAAAAATTGAAATCAATTATGCGACATACGATACTCATATCGTTAACGATACGAAATCAATTAGTCACTTTTATAAACTTCGATAGAACAATGAGAAGATGGACTTGATCTAAAAAAATTTGATGTACTTGCGATATACATTTCCAACAATCTGGTCACACATATACTTGTCAGGGCATTTTTATGTGAAAATTAATAAACGTCAATAATATATCAAAGTTTTTGTTAGTTGAGAAATAACTATTTTGCTCTTTGTGACTAAGTCGAGCTGTAAAGATAAAAAATCTAAATGAACTAGTGATCTAAGAAGAGATCTATACAATGTTTAACTCTCTACATTTATGCGATAGCTTCTTTTAAATCACATAGAAGACATTTTGAGAATAAATATTTAGTTCCAATAGTTTGTTCAATTTGAGCTATCTCTTTTCAATTCTTTCAACTGATAAAGTTTAATTGATATCTGGGATAGTTCTGGTTTGTTTGATATTTCTATCATATTTGAAGAAAGGTTTTAGTTGACAGAAATAAACATTTATAGATTGAGAAAATTTGTTAACTTTTGTCATTAAAATACAAGACACGTTTTCTCATTACGTAATCACTTGTTTCTGGCTGTTCGAACTGTTGTCACAATCAATGTTGTAGAATGTTCTTTGACATAAGGTATATATTTGCAATATTCAGTTTATTATTTTATTTACATCCTTGCTATACTATACTAATGTGTCTTTAATGTAACTTCCAACCAAACCCTTTCATGTAAGTAATTGAAATCCATTATGTTATTATGATTTCTAAATATCACAGGCTGTCAGCAGCTGACGAGAACCAACGAAATTAAATGAATTTATGCTATTCTATTAGAATCTTTGTTCTTGCTCCTTTCAAAATAAAAAAGGAAACTATGTGTATGAAAGGCAAATCGGTTTTTTTATATGAGCTTGGTAATTCATTGTAGAGTACAAAGACTTGAATTTCATATAAGTACTTATAATTACAAAAACTTTATGGTTTTTCAGTTAAATTCCTACTGAATGTTATCATGAAGCATTATTCTGTAAGGTGTTTCAATTATCAACAGAGAAAATACTCTTGAAGCATTTACGATTAAGAATAACTATTATTTACTTACCACTCTTGTATTTGATTCCATGCTTTCAAATAAACTCCATAAAAAACCAGGACCATAACGACCAACATGTTTTCCAATTTCAACATTGTGTAAACTTTGATTACAACTAGATAAAGTAGGTGTATGTGGTGGTGAACGTTTTAAAGACAGTCGAGACATTCTTCTTGATAGTGTAGAATGAAAGGAAAACGCGTGGTCTACAAAGAGAAAAAGTAGGAATTACGAAATGTGACTAAAACAACAGTAATAATCTGTGTTTTTAACTTAATATTATTTATATAAATAAGTCATATGTTTAGTTTATTAGTTCGATGTGATGTGTGTTTAATAACCAAGTGATTTGAAGTGGTATCTATTGAGAAAAAACAGCATTATCATTTCATGCATTATTTGTGTCTTGTCAAAAACAGATAGGAAGTAGTTATGCAGTGTATTTAATTTATGCTCATTTTAAGGCCATCTTGTATTATTTCAAACAAAATGCCTGTTAATATAGAAACTGTCAACAATAAACGATGTGTGAGACTTTAAATTACATTTTGAATGGGTTGAAACCACTAAAGTGAAGTACATTTTGATTATTCTGAAACTCTATAGCTACATGTAATTGCATCATAACGTTGACGTTCATATCACGTCTTAAACTTAGTATCCACAAAAACAAACATTAGAGAGATAGCATTTCGATTTCTAGATTTCAATCTTTGATATTATTCAAGATTCAGTTAATTTTAGCAATTCATAAATCATGAAACTCATACACTAAATACTTCATGTGTACATTCTTCATCAGTTGTCCTTTACATCATGATGCTTCCAATTCTGTTTTTATTCCAATTCCTTTCTGTTTCCCTTTCGGTTATTTTCAGTTCAATTTTCTCAATCCTCTTCTGACAGCCACTTTTCTTCTGATTGTTGTTCTATACAACTTACATCTGTCAGCATAGCATACACCACAGTTTGACTACAACTTAGCAACATAAATTTTAACATGTAGTTGAACTACTGAGCTAACAGACATGTGTTTAAATCCTAGAGACTTAAAAGATCTTTAAAACTGAATAGTCTTATGGTTTTCGAAAAGATTTGTTATCAGAATATAAGTAATACATAAAAGTCCATACATTTTTTTCTAGCAGTCTGAATACCATGTAAAAATATAAAGTCAGATGAATGGTTTGTAGCGAATTAAATAATATGCTTGAAGGTAAGACTGAACCATTATTAAAAAATAGGGATAAAACGAGTTAGCAATATTGGTTTAGCTAAAAATAGCACTTACCGAACGTGACGAAGTTAGGAGTATGTTATTGATTTGGCGAGCCAATCAGAGATAGCTTAATGAGAAAGTCAATCGATGGTAATTAGAAGTGACCTACAGGACAAGTGCATTTCACTGGCTAAAAATTAGATTAATTTCCCAAGGATTAGAGTCGTATATATACGAATGAATATT